GGAAGCTTAAAGCGTCGCCACATCAAGACGCACCAGGAAAATTTCGACCCCAATTGGACACATCGAAAAGTGTCAAGGAGATGAACACATCAGGGGGAAAAACATCCCAAAAGAAAACTCCACGCGAAGAAACGCGAAGGCCATGATCGTCCTACCCTATGTCAGAGGCGTCACGACGTATTTAGGCGTCATCTAAAAATGCAGGTGTGGCTTTAATAGTGAGACCGTTTGAGACTTCAAAACGTTTTTGGTACACCCTAAGGACAGAACAGATATCACAACATTACGGACTGGTGTTTACAAGATACCTGAAAAAGTTAATTGGAGAACCGGGCCGAAAATTTAAACCCGCCTAAAAGAACACAAACAGGACGTAGACCCGTACAGCCCAAATCGTTCACAAGGGCCCACGAAAACAGTCGGCTAGCGAAATCACCAAATCCGCGATCACTAACTACGTACCGAAGGATAATCACACATCGATGGGTAGAATTCGAAGATCATCGATCGCAAGCCAATCAAAATCAGGCGTTGGATTAAGGAGGCCATCTGGATCCGCAAGACCGCGAAACATCAAACCGGGAAGAGGGGGATACAGGCTTAGTCACGTGTTGGACTAAGCTATTGACCACCACACCATCTGGTGGTCAAAACTGATTAACACTTAGTTTGTTTGAGAGAAGCTCCGGCAGGAGGCGAAACGTACTTCAGCGCGTACGCTTCAAACTTGCACGTTGAGTAAAAATTAACCCTGTTATTCATACACGTATATATTGATATCGTAACGGAGCGGGAGACCATATCGTGGAAGATGGTACGGTTATAAGGAGAACTATCTTACTATTATATTAGACACCATAATAACCATTCTACCTAAGCATAAATACTTCGTTTCTGCTTTTGGCCCTGGAAGTGTATGTCGAAATACTTACCCAAGCTGTAACGCGCCGAGAAAAACAAAAGATGTCAACAAATCCACATCATATACCGAAACTTTGCTCATCCTCTCAAATTCGCGTCTCAACTCAACAAAAATCTTATATTAAATTAAAAGTAATTATGGTACGACGCATACCTGTTTCCGTTTTTGTTAAATTCTCCTCACTGTGGATCATTGTTTAGTCGTTGCGTGAAAGTCTAAATAGCTCGTTTCTATTTCCAGTCCTATATTCAATATCAAACAGTGCATTACTACTAAAGGGTGCGCGCCTATATTCGCCATTTCTTCTCAATGATGGATAATATTGGCATATTAATTAATGTAACAGATTTAGGGCAATATTAAAATGACGATAACATACTCCAGCTACAACTATAGCGCGCCTACTAGACGAAGAAAATCCGCACCATGTTGAAATCAGTGCTGGAAATAACTCGTTTGCTCGAGAAACGACGCGAGTACGCAAAACGATAATACGCGCTAGCATACTTTTACCCCGCACAGATGGCAAGAATTTGATCCTACATCAAACATGTATGATCCTACATCATCCCTGCCAGGCCGCGCCGCTAAATCGCAACGTACAGGTCAGGCGCAGAAGAAGACGACAGACAAATTGTGTCTGAAATTTTGTTTTTGATCTTCACTTCACTCGAGTCTTATTAGAACTTGACAGAAGAATCTATCTAGAATGCGTGGGAAAGCAGACATAGGAATGTGCATGTTTACACTTCCATTGCTAATAAAATGGCTCAATTGAATTATAATCGGATACACAGATTCGATTATACGCCGGTTGCAGCTTCTGCTGCCTATTCAATTACCTGTTAATATTCTTCTTCTTCTGCTATTACAATAATGCAGTATAAATCCTAATAATTCTATCAGGGGTACCGTTGTTGTTTAACCGTTATTGCTGTCTCGTTGGAGTGACGTAACAAGCTAAACTGAGCATGCGCAGTTTGAGCCGTGCTAACTTAGCCCCTGTTGAATCCGTGTTGTGCCTGTACGCTGCGATTTATCTCGCCGCGCCTGGCCCGGTCTGGCCCGGAGCTAGTTTGATTGAATAGGATCAAATGTTGCAGTCTGTACGGGGTATGTATTTGTTCCAAGCTTCGGGTATAAGCTCACTAGCTTCTACAATATCTTACAACTGTCTACGCCATGTTGTGCCTTTATGTCACAAACAGGTACGCTGACTCTTACACTTATCTAAGACTAAAATTAAATACATGTGTGTATATTTATATAATAATAAACACATTTAACTTTTTTGGGCAAAAACGTAATACCAACTAACCATCAGATGTTCATTTTATAGCGTAATTGCATTAAACTGTATTAATGTAATACCGATTAATCCAATCACACAGCTTCTATTTGACCCATTTTAAAGCAACATTCCAACGCGCGTCTATATTTCTACGCTCGCTAAGGCTGCCCATATAAATATTCATGCGTCGAATGAACACCGCATAATGAATGAGAGTTACTGGGGAAGCCGCCTATTTCTGTCATTTTAGTAAATAAGTCATATCGGAATTAAATCCCCGCCGCAATATTTGCAAGATCAGATAAGAGGGTTAAGTTGGCCTATATCTACATGGTTATGATAGTACTAATGCTATGTTTTTTGATCTATAATTCTTTTCACTAAAATCCGTACTTCAATTACAGCACGCCCACGCGTGCACAGAAAAGTTTACGAATATGATTTGGTCATTTGGGATATTTTTGCAAGTTTGTGTAATGCAAAAAACTAAAAACGAGTGTTTGTTCGTTAATCATGTACTTTCCTAAGCGTGCCTCGCTCATTTTTATAACCCGCTTTTTTCTATACACCTAAATAAACACAGTCTGACTTTCCAATAATCAGCTTATTAGCAGTTCTTATAGCCAGACCCTTACCGCCCACTGTGCTAGCCTAAATTACCAATCATAACTTGAGCCAAAACCTTAGCCCAATGCGAGAACACTGGCAATCGACGTCAACTATACAGCGAATATTTTTTAAAGCCTAAAAACTATTCAAAAATGACTTAGAAAACAATATATTTTCGTTAAAGAGCGGTGGTCAGAAAAACTGAGAGTTAGCAATTTTGTAATAACATAATAATAATTAATTTATGTTTTAGCTTACCCTAAGAATAAGTCATGATCAATTAATAAGTAAAAAGTAATTAAATTGACTAAAAATGTTTTTACAATTTTAGGACATACTGTACTAAATTGTAATGCTTAGCGAAATTCTAGTCATTATGTGAATCATGCTAATGTTAAAGATTAAGTTAGGGTAATAAGATAATATGATATAACCTTTTAATTTAAGTTGCCACGGAAAACAAATATGTAACAAAACGCTGAAATAACACATAAAACAACGACATAAGCCACACGTAAACATCAGTTGAAATTCGAATTGATGTCGATCGATAGGGTGGCGCTTAGACAATAGTTACAAGTGTACGTGTTACCTACGAGTCCTTTCTTTCATGTACTCACCAAGCACTTATTCCATCTGACTTGTATGGTTAACGGTATTATTGAAGAGATTTATATTAATATAAGCGATTCACATAACTATGAATATTTTCACGCGAGAGTCGAGTATAGGCGTGAATGGCCGATTGAGTATAGAAATTAACGCAGAACTAAAATCGTTTTTCGATATTATTATATATTCGAATTTTGGCGTCCCATACTCAGGTGTTTGATGAGGCTAAATTATGGGTAACGCCATTTGAGCCTTGCAAGGTATAGGAGGCGAAAATTTCAGCTAACTTTGAAAACAAAATATACATTTTGCAGGCGCGCATAGCACATCGAAATATCTTGTAACCGCAAAATCTGACGAAATCGTGAATATGCTATGCTGATTCAAGTTCAACACACGCTCTGTCCTAAAAATGCTGGATGGCGCCCTACATCGGTGCTACGAATATCATACATTATGCAGGACACCGCGGCGCTTGCCATGGAGAAACTAAACGCTCACATTGGCGACGCTTGGTTGATAAGAAAAATAACCCAAAAAATCTATCCTATCTATTTATCTAATCTATTATCTTATCTATATATATATCATCTATCGTTATCTATCTATCTACTACTTATCTATCTATCATACTATCTATCTATCTATCTATCTTCTATTATACGTATTATCTATCTATCATATCTATCTATCATTATCTATCTATCTATCTATCAATTCTATCTTATCCTATCTTATCTATCTATCTTCTATGCTATCGTATATCTATATCATAATCTATCTATATCTACTCTAATCTATATCTATTCATCTTCTATCTATCTATCTTCTAGCTATCTATCTATCTATCTAATCTATCTATCTATCTATCTATCTATCTTTATCTATCTATCTCTCTTATCTAATCTATCTATTTATCTATCTCATCTATCTATTTATCTATCTGCTCTTCTTATCTCCCCCATCTCTGCTATTCTATCTAGTACTATCTATCTATCGTATTCATATCTATCTATCTATCTATCTAGTCTATCTAATCTATCTTTTATCTATCATATCTATCTATCTATCTATCTATCTATCCTATCTATTATCTATCTATCTATCATCTATCTATCATATCTAATCTATCTTATCTATCTATCTAATCCATCTATCTATCTATTATCTATTAGCTATCTATTATCTATCTATCTTATATCTATATTATCTATCTATCTATCTATCTACATCTATTCTATCTTATCTATCATCTATCTATACTATTAATGCGGTATAGTATACGCCAATGTAACGCGCATTGTTGAGCAAGATGCAAGTCAGTGCCAACTGAATCCCGGCTTTCCTGCTGCCTGGCAGGGGCCCGTGTTACGTTAAATGTGTCTGCAGGGCGCGTCTTAATTTAATTGCTGCCTGCAAGACCGTATATTTATTGTTTCCGTCGGTACTCTCCCCCGTCTTTTTTTTTAGCTTAGATGACCTCGGAGGTCAAATCCACATGCTGCCCACTGACATTCATACAATCCACAATTTACCCCTACTGACACCTTTTGAGCACCTTCTCAGATCTCGCGTACTATTGATATGCATCCGAGAACGACAACATACATACATTCACAATAACGTATTAGATACAGCAAGACCAGCAGTCGTCGCTACATGTTCATAGTAGCGGAAGCAAACGAATTCTTTCTCCTCGGGAAGAATAGACCGATCGAGACTACATGCACAGGTTGGTGGCGGGGGCAGCTTCTGGTGCTGGCGGCCCACCAAGAGGCTGTTAGCGAAGTACTCGGCCCAGTGGAATCCGCACCATTGTCGGCTGATGAGAGAAGCCCTTCTGTTGGGCGAGAGCAGCGCGAGGGTATTCGGTGTAGGATGCTGATGAAGAACCATCTCCATTCCTGAATGCATGCAGCCGATTCAATTGCGATTAGCGGGCGTAAAGACTACCGATCATTCCTTCTTACTCCTCTCTCTCTCTCTCTCTTTTCCTTTCTTTCTCGCGCTCTCTCTCTCTCTCTCTTCTTCTTCTTCTCTCTCTCTCGTTCTCTCTCGTTTGCCTTCTCCCCACCCCTCTCTCTTTCTGTCGAGCGTGAGCGCGCGCTTTCTCTCTCTTGCGCACCCTCTCCCCTTCTCCCTCCGTCTTCTTTCTTTTGCCCTTGCTTTCTTCCTGTTCTTTCTCGATAGTTTCCGCTTAGTCGGGCTATCGGTTTCTCTCTTATCCCCTCTACCCCTTTCTTCTTTTGTTCATTCTCTCTCTCTCTCTCTCTCTCTCTCTCTCATCTCTCTTCTCTGCTTTCTGTTCTATCTCGTGTTTGGCTATTTTTCCTTCGCGCTGTCTCTTTTCTTTTTCCCTCGGCCCCGCTTTCTCTCATCACTCGCTCTCATGCTTGTCTCTCTCCCCCCTGCAATCGCTCTATATATAATCTATTTATTTATCTATCTATCTATCTATTCTAATCTATCTTATCATATCATTCTATCTATCTATCTATTTATGCTATACTATACTATCTATCTATCTATCTTATCTATCTAATCTATCATCTATTATTTATTCTTTTATGCTATCTATCCATTATCTTTAGTACTACATCTATCAATTATATTATCTATCTATCATACTCTTCTATCTATCTATCTATTCATCTCATCTATCTATTATCTATCCTATCTACTGTATTATCATCTATCCTAATCTATACTATCTAATCTATCTATCTATCTATCTATCTATCCATCTTATCTACTAGCTATCTATCTATCTTCTATCTCGTCTGTCTGACTGTCTGTCTGTCTGCTAATCGATCCATCCATCCATCCATCCATCCATCCTCATCCATCCATCTATTCCATCCATCCATCCATCCATCATCCATTCATTCATTCATCCATCATCCCATATCCTATCTCCATCTTACCATTCCATTTATCTATCTATCTATCGTATCTATATCTACTTATCTATTTCTCTCTCTCTCATCTCTCTCTCACTCCCCTCTCTGTCACTGGTTTCTCACTACTCTTTCGGCCTATGATACTCTTCGCGCCTACGCTCTCTACCAATTTACTCCATCTCTTATCTTGATAATTATCTCTCCTCACACACCGATGTTGCTTACCGTTCAAGCCGTTGCTGCGACTGCGTTGGCTGCATAGCTAGCGGTTGTGGTCCCTTCTCGGCTGGGAACCCGTGACAAGGGAAGGCTGCGTAAGGTCTTAATCGGCTGCCTGAAACCATGGCGGACTTCACAAACCTTAGGCCATACCTCACAATACCTCAGTGTGCAAAGTAACGGAAATGTGTTGTCGTGTGGTGTGCTGTGTGGTGTGTTGTGGTCGTGTGTGTGAATGGCCGCTGTGTGTGTCGTTGTGTGCTGTGTGCTGTATGTGGTGTGTGTGTGTGTGTTGTGTCGTGCGTCGTGCGATGTCAACGTTGCGTGTGCGTGGCCGTTGTGCACGCGCGGTGGTGGTGTGCGCGTCGTGCGTGCGTGCCGTGCGATGGCCAGAACACCTGTGTGCGTTGTGTGACTGTGAGTGTGTTGTGGTGTGTGCTGTGTGTGTGTGTTGTGTGTGCGTGTTGTGTGTGTGTGTGTGTGTGCGCGCGCGCGTTTACCATTGCTTCATTCACACTCACCGTGCGCGTGGAAGGAAACTTTGTGGCTGAGGAGGGATACGAGTTTAATGTGTACAGCTCTCTTTCCATGCATTTCAGTTGGTCGGCGATCTCTGGCCTGTAACAACGCAGAATGCTTTACTCAGATCTGCTCATACATTTCACATTTCACAAATGCTCGGAGACAATACGTGTAAATGTCTGGAGTGTCGTCACAATATCGCATGTCTCATCTGTAATATTATGACACTCTTGAACATAGGAACACATCCGTACTATACAGGGAGTCCGGGTGCATGCTAATAAATAGCCTATAGCAAAAACAGTTTTGCACGACCCCTCGAGTACGGACCCTCAACATATTGAACAGTGGGTACCAGTGGGGACCGGATCTCGCGTAAGATTAGGTAGGAGTGGGTTAGGTCAGGATGAGTTCCGACCTCATACATTGCCACCACTCTATAAAAACAACGCTGTGTCTCGAAGCCCACCGAGAGCACGTGTTGCCTCATGCTTTCTGCTTTTACATAATATCAACAGCGTGTTAAGCCTTCTTAATACGCTCTTGATAATATGAATATATGCATAATATGCACATATATTATATATACATCCCTCCCTTCCTACGAATCTACTTCTGCGAATTGACACATACACGGCGGCGATTTTGTTCGTGTGTGAGCTAATGAGAGCGTGTTGAGTGGTCGGTGATTCCCGCGGAGAAAATTCTAATAAAAGCATCTAATAATATCCCTCAACACGGAACTCCATGAAGCGCTGGATTCCTCACAAGTGCTTGCAGGTGGCGCATGCAGAGCGCTCGCCGGGTAAGCACGCAGCGCAGACGCCCGCCGCTTCTCCCCGTATCTCTCTGGCGTTCTTGTCAGGCGAGCAAATATTATGATAACCAAAATATCCTCTAGTAGGTAAGGAGAATTCTACCTATGAAAATAGCGAGCAGTTTGGAAGAAAGGTTCTATATCGACCAGGCGGCCGTTGTCAGAAACACCGTAAAGGTTAATGTTAATATGCTATTTACGACAAATGTTAATGTTACGAGAATAGCGTTGACAGAAATGCATAGCAGCTATGGGAAAACTTATACGATAACAGAAACTTTATAATTGCATGTCACAAGGCTGCTGATTGGATGACAATCGATCACAAAATTCAAATTCATAATGAAAAAACATGAGTCTCCATCGTTAGCCTCGAATCAAACCAGCAACTTAAATTTCTGGCCACTGATACTGGCGAAATGTTACAACTCCCGACAGTGATTTGATCAATGTCCACTTTGCACAGTTGTTGCCGGGTACCTATGATGAGGAATTCCGTCTTGTCGTCGTTCTACATTAGCCGATCAGCAAGCATCCAGTCACGGATAATTTTTATACAGGTTTCCATCGCAGAGACGTTGGAAGGGTGGTTCGTGGCTGGCAGCAGAATTTGGATTGAAGGATATAGGTACATTTGGGAGTCATCAGCATAGCAGCGGATATCCGGAAAATGAGCTTCAAATATTGAGACATTTTTTGACGCATATATGTTGAAGAGAAGAGGCCCAAGACATGAGCCTCGTGGAACACCCCACTTCCAGTCGAAGCTGCCTGACAGAGTCCCACGTATTGACACGCGCTGTGATCTTTGTGACAAATAGGATAAAAACCAGTCAAGTGCTTTGCCCGTAATGCCAATCCTAGACTAAAGGCTCTTGAGTAAAATATCATGATCGACAGTATCGAAGGCAGCACTGAGATCCAAAAGCACAAGGAGAGTAACTTGCTGGTTGTTCATGTTCATTAATATGTCGTTCTTAACTTTAAACATGCAGTGCCGTTTCAGTGCTGTGTTGTTTCTTGTAAGCTGATTGCATGATCGGGAAGAGTCCATTCACGGTCATGTGCTGGTATATTTGATAAAAGACTATTTTCTCCGTCAGTTTAGACACGTAGGTGAGCTTGCTGATTGGGCAGTAATTTTGAAAAACAAGGTCAAGTCCCGGTTTTTTCAACAAGGGTGTCACGAGTGCTTCTTTCCAGTCCTCAGAAAATGCAGCTGTATCTAAAGAACAGTTGACCATCTTAGTGAGAGCAGTTAATAGCTCATCAATGCAACTGATAATTAATGGAGTTGGTATTGGATCCAACACAAAGGTCTTTTTTGATAAATTGCTTATATAATTTTTAACTTGTTCCGGCGACAGTAGCTGAAACTCATCGAATACAACCTGTGATGCCTGGTTAACTCACCTATCAACCTCAGCAGCATCTATGTCTGACGGCTCATGAATGACGCCTGTATCTCCGTCCTGGAACTGCACTGCGTCAAGCTCCATAGCTGTAATGCAACAGCCTATTAAACTTGCGCGTTTTGCGTTGTGCGCGTGATGTGTGAATGCGTGCACTTATAATTTTACAACATATTCTCACCTTTTGTACACAAGAGCTCTTCGATCAGTGGTCGAGAAAAAGCGCTGTCGCTTTTGTCGTGTTCCTATAATGGGATGAAAATAGCCTATTATTGATACGGTACCACCATCACCACTATCCACAACAACAACCACAACAACAACAACAACAACAACAACAACAACAACAACAACAACAACAACAACAACAACAA